CGCCGCCGCCGCCGGTGCAGCCAGAGCGAGCAGTTGCGAGGGACCCGAGGCGGCGCGGAGGAGGCCCCCACGGCGGCCGGCGGCCGGGGAGGAAGGAGACAGAGCTGACCTCTGCCCGCCCGAGGCGCGGCCCCTCCCGTGCGCCCGGGGCTGCCGCCGCCCCCGGGCTGAGCGAGGAATGAGCAGGCGCCTGCCCCGGGCTCTCGGACCGGGGGGCCGCGGCTCGGCTTCTTCCGGGGCCGCGGGGGCTCGGTCGCCGCGACCGGGCGCGGCAGGGTCAGCGGCGGCCTCGCTCGGGGTGCCCGCGCCGGGGTTAAGTTAACCGGCCGCGGAGAGAGGAGGAGGAGGAGGTGCCGGGCGGGGGCGGCCGCCGCGCGTCCCCTCCCCCTGCCCACGCCGGGGCTTCTCAGTGGCCGCCGAGGAGGAAGTTCCGCTCCCTGACAGACCCGGGCGGTAGCAACAGCGGCCGCGGCCGCCGCGGCGGGCAGGGCGCAGGTATTTTGGACGCGGATGCCCTTCGCGCCGGCCGTCGACGGGGCAGCGTCGGAGCTCTCGCCGACGCCGGGAGCCCGGGGACTGCGTCGGGAGGCGCGGGCGTCCGAGCCCTCCTTCCTGCTTTTCGCCCAGCGCCGCTGCTTCGGCTTCCCGGCTGGGCGGGAGACATTCCTCCAGCTTGGCCGACTTCCGAGGAGCCAGCCCCTTATTTTCCCCCCACTGAGGGTAAGAGATTCTGGAATCGAAGCTTCGGAGGAGCTGAAGCGAACCTTCCCCAACTCCTCGGTTCACGCCAGGCTCCCTTTTGGGGCGGGAGATCACGTTGGAGCATCTCCCCGAGGTGCAGGAATGGAAGAACCCACCTTGCATCCTCTCTGCGGTGTTGCTTGCCTGATCTCCGCTTGGGAATGAGAAGGAGACTTGTAATTACCCAATGAGGTACTGAAAGACAAATGGCAGAAAATTTATTACCGGACAGAAACTAGTGATCGTTTGGGAGCTACACGCGTTTCTGCATGTAATTGGACGGGCGTGAAAGAGGTACCTTATTGAAAAGCACAACAGTCCCTTAGGAGGCGAAAAATTGAGTTCTTCCGTTTTGGCCGAGATTTTGAAGACGGTTCAGTGTATCGTACGTTTGGTAAAAGATGAGAACTTTATAAAATATTCTGCCCAAGAGCGTAAACGATGACTACCCCAGCCCTGCTACCCCTCTCTGGACGAAGGATACCACCTCTGAACCTGGGCCCACCTTCCTTCCCGCATCACAGGGCTACATTGAGACTTTCCGAGAAGTTTATCCTCCTCCTTATTCTAAGTGCCTTCATCACCCTGTGTTTTGGGGCATTCTTCTTCCTTCCAGACTCTTCAAAACACAAACGCTTTGATCTGGGTTTGGAAGATGTGTTAATTCCTCATGTAGATGCCGGCAAAGGGGCTAAAAACCCTGGAGTTTTCCTGATCCATGGACCAGATGAACACAGACACAGGTTTGTTTATTTCAGAAGTTCTGGTATTAACATTTAGCTGAGCAAGGTATGGTTTATTGCATCAAATGGGTCATTTTTTGGTAGTAAAATGTAACTTTCCCTGAGTCGTGAGAGTTGTATTATTTCAGAACCGGTTAAATAGAACTATAAAGCAGAAGGACTTCTAGGGCCCCATCTAAAGTCCAGCTCCTTCCTTTTATATAGGAGGAACATTTGTGCTCAGAGATGCTGTGTTTGTGGAGTTGAGTCTGATGTGTCTGATGGTGTTGTACCAATGAGGATTGAGAGTATGAGAACTTAACCTGAAGAAATAGTGACATATACTGTGCCTCCATTTATGAAGAATGTGTTGCATTCAGTCGTTGTACCACCCAGCGAAATAGTTCCATTGACTCCTGACATCGCCTAAGGGTTTGTTTTCTCCCAAAGGGCCCTCATTCTCTGGCTTAAAGCTCTGGATCTTAGCTTTTTAGGAAGCCAAACATGGGGACCATAGATGTGTTCTGGTGTTCTATATGTACTAAGTTAAATTAAAGGTATCATTGAATCTTAAGTCATGTCACTTTGTGAATCTTGTAGACAGGATTTGGTGATTTTTTTTTAATTTAGTTTTTGCTCTGATTTTTTTTTTTAATGGAAGAGTTGGAATGTGTCAAGTAACTCTTAGAATTTGATTGATTAAATTTTTCAAATCACCAAATCTTAAGTGAGCTCTTGGGAGAATATAGCCAAATTAGTTTAAAATGGGAGCTCTAGTTACAGTCTCTTTAAATCATTTGTGTAATTTGTGTCAAAAGAAAAACTTGGGACAGTAGTTTACTTTTTTTTCGGACCTACAGTTTTTTTTTTTAACCTTCTAAATCTTTCCCCTCTTTTCTCTATGTTTTAAAATAATTTTTGAGTATGTAAAAAAAAATCATAAGCTTGAATTCTGTTTTCAACTGATGTTAGTTTTAACTTTTCATCAAGCATGATGGTTTTGGAAAAGCTTGTGTTGAGGTGTGATCGTAAGTTAAATACTGTGGGAAAATGCACTGCTGTAATGAGAACTGGTTTCTCCTTTTTCTCAATCTAGTTGATTATTTGCCTGCTGCTTTGACTTTTGGCTGAACCTTATGGAGTAATTACTTCTAAAATTTTTCCATACTTTTCTTCTGTAACCAAATTAATTTGAAATTTTTGCTATTATTTTCAACCTCTGTACTCTTTTCAAGTCTTTTATTTTGCCCCTTACTCTTTGTGACTTTAAGAAAAATCTGATACATTCTGTGAAATATGTTGCTGAAAAATTAACACTGAAAGTACTATTTTCCTTGAAAACCTTATTTCTCTTGGTGTTTATACAAGCTATGATAAGTATTAAAAAATATATTAGGACTGACTTCAGAAATCTTTGAAGCCACACATTAACATTATTTAACTCTATTATAGTAATCTATCATATACTTAACAGTTTCCTTTATATTTTAAGTGTGGTCTAAAAGTTAAAAAATACGGTACATTCTAGTTTAAAAACATTCACATAGGAAAATTTAAAATTTGAATGAAAATACAGATATGTGCATTTTATTCACATTTTTAAAAGACTATTTAAATTTCTTAAAAAAGTAATTCTTAAATTTATGTAGCCCTTAAATACATATGCTTGCGTTTCGCTATCTGAAGCTACTTGGTTCCTCAGTTTGGAGTGAGAGCTTGGTTATTGAATTCTCCCAAATCCTGGATTTTGGATAGGAAGAGTCTGGATAACAAGTGATACATGTGAGAATTTATTCAAATCTATTTGGATCCTGAGTTTTTGAAAGCAAGAATTTGAATAATGAGAGGTCAGGTATCCAGGAATCCCTGTATTATTTCTGTGCTTATTTATGTGGTTATATCAGTTTATTTTTGTTTGCTTATTAGTATGTTATCAATTGTCACCCTATCTGAAAACACAGTCTGTAGTTATAAGAATTCTTCTAATTTAAGCAATGAAATACATTTCAGTTTAGAGATCATTCAAATGATGTTTAAAATGTAAAATATAAAATATTAATATGTAAACATCAACATATTTAAAAGTAATTCAGAAAGATAATATTTTAACAGACTTAGTTGGTACCAAGATCGTACCTGTTTTGGATGTGGGTCAGAAAACCATCTTTCTTAATTTTGAAAATACAAATTGGTAATTTATCATAATTTTGTGTGTGTGGAGAAGGGTGCAGGATAGAGGGATGAGGAACCTTACATTAATGGATAAGTAATAAAAATAAATCATGGCCATTATTTCTAATTCATAGTATTTAAAAGATACTTGTTGAATTGGCTCTTCTTAATTAATTAGTTTAGTGTAGTAGTTAGGTGCTTAAGCTCTGGAATCAGACTACATGGATTTGTATCCTAGTTTGTCACTGATTAGATGTTTAATTTTGAGCGAATTTTTTAACTGTATTCCTAAGTTGCTTCCTCTGGATGTCAGTGACATCCACTTTACAGATTGTTATATTGTACGAGATAGTATCTGCAAAGTGCTCAGCATAGTTCCTAGCATTTAGTAAATGCTCAATAAATATTAGCTATTATTATCAATAGTTATATAGTTTTAATTATTTTAATTCTGAGTCTACTAACCTTTAAATACTGTGCTGGTTTAGGAAAAGTTTGGTAAGGATTAATTAATATTTTTAAAGTACACCAGAACCTTATTGTCTAAAGGAACATTTTATAACCAAACTACTTAAGAACAAATGGGTATTGCATACCTGCTTTACGTCAGGCCCTGCTTTTATGGAGCTTCCCATGGTGGTGGGGGTGGTGGGGGGAGATGACAGGTATTAAATAAATAAATTTATTCTTTAGATGTGGTGTCATGTGCTCAGTTATATAAGGGCCCATAAGTATGTGATTTAGCCTGTGGAGTGGGGGTGAGGGCTCAGAGATAAGCAATGGGAAAAGGGAAAGCTTTCTTAAGGAAACAGCTTCTCAGAAACTTAAAAGTAGGAGGTTGCTAGGCAAAATAGAGATGTGGGAAAAAAGTGGTCAAAGCAGAGGACACGAAGTGTGAGAGCCCTAAAGGTAGAAAAAAGCTTGGTAGTGTTGTCGAACCCAAGTTCATGTGCAAAGTGTGGCCATACTGAAATGGGAGTTTAGAGCAGAGCAAGGTTTATTGCAAAGGCCAAGCGAGGAGAATGGGGCAGCTCATCCTTTAAAGACCCAAATTCCCCAGTGGCTATCTGGGAAGTGTTCTTATAGCAAAATTTGGGGAGGAGGTCTCTGGGGTTTGTGACCTTCCTCTCATTGATTGATGGTAAGGTAACAGGGTGGTATTCCAGGAATCTCAATCATCAGCCTTCAGGTTCCAAGCAGTCTGGGGTCCACCTACTTATTGTGCTGAGCCTGAAGTTACCATCCTCTACCAGGGTAGGAGTCTTAGTTCCAGTGGAAGAATTTAGAGATATGTATCATTTGGTTATGCACAGTCCTGGAAGAGGCTGCACTATTGTTATTCTTTCCGTGTTCCCTCACTCCCCTAATTAGTAACTGTGTTAATCTGCCCTTTGGAACTGAGGCGAGGTCTAGGAGGCTGAAAGCCTTTTTCCTGCAAACAAGAAACTAGGGACACACAGAAAGGCTTTGGTTGATCACTGAGAAATACTCAGTATGGCTGGTGTAGAGATTATTTGGTGTGGGGCTAGGTGAGGAGATTAGATGAGAGGTCAGATTTGGCCTCCTTGTTGTTCAAAAAGTTTGAATTAGTTGCCAGCATTCACATATCAGGAAATGTCACAGAAAAGTCTGGATTTCTGATTTCTCTTAAAAAATTGGAGGATATATCCAACATCCAAGTCTGTATTTTCTGGTGGCAACACTCAGCTGGATCCAGGCAACAGCTACTCCCTCTAGAGGGGTATGAGCTCTTTATTTTATGTCACTCAGTTAAGTTGCCAGGTAAATAAATCATTAGATTTGTAAATTCATTAGAATTAATATGTAACCTGGTTGTTGTTGAGTTTGGAATCCCTAGGCAGGATCCAGGAGAGTTTTTAGTCAAGTATTTTGATCTTTATCCTACATATTATGGAAAGGCATTAAGAGTTTGCCTTAAAACAAGGTAATGCTGTAATCACTCAATATTTTGAAAAGTTTAAATAATCACTTTGGTTTCAATGTAAACACTAGATTGGAGAACAGGAGGAAATGTAGTGAAATCAGGAGAGTCTAGGTCACAGAGAATATTGGCTTAGACTACAGTGGTGAGAGTGGAGAAGGAGAGAAATTAGTGGAGAAAAGTAGTTGATTCAAGAGATATTAAATTGTTAAGTTTCACAGAAGTTGGTGGTTGACTGAAAATGGGGTCTAAGACACAAGGAGGAGGTAGTTCAGGATAACCACCAGTGTCTGGGTGACATGGTTACGGACTACTAAAAAATATATAATTGATATTGCATCAATTTAGGATAAAATATTTTCATGAAAAAACCTATATTCCCTTCTGTTAAGTGAGTCATAAATAATTCAGAGTTTTCAAACAACATACCTTCCAGATGATGACATAAAATGTATAGTTTGATGTTTATGACAGTCATTTTTAGCACCTGTGATTTTAAAGTCACCAGAGCAGATACTGGTTATAATACACATGAATGTTGTTATAAGTATACACTGATACACATCAAGTGTCATGTTTGTGATTTGTATACATAATAGACCTATCCAATCAAAATTTTACTTATTAATTTCTTTCACTTTTAAAACTGACATTTGTTTTATATGATGGCATTATATAAATGGGCTTTGTGATTTTGTTTTTAAAATATGTAGGCTTTGGAGATTATGAAAAAGGACGTATGTATACGTATAGCTGAATCATTAAGCTGTACACCAAAAACTAACAAAACATTTTAAATCAACTATACGTCAAAAACCAAAATCTGACAAATAGCTCATACAACTAAATATCAAAAAAGAAAACCAACCCAATAAAAAAACAGATGGAAGACCTAAACAGACATTTC